CCTAGGTCTCTTTTCGTGTCTTTTTGTGTTTAAAAAATGGAAAATCACAAAAAAATTGAGTCAGTCGTGGAAGAAAATCAACCAGTCGATCCTACATTCAAAATTTCTTTGGACAGATGGGTTCCAACAGAAGGAAGTTCAACAGACCGACTTCAAAATGAGTTATACAAATTACAGATGAAATTGCATATGAGTACGGAAACTATTTAAAAAAAAAGAAGCGTCTGCAAAAAGAGTTTAAAAAAGAACGAGAAGAAATCCTGAAGAAATATGAGGACAAAATTCTAGAACTAGATGCGACCCCTTCAAATCATACTCAAGCTTCATCTGGAGATGAACAATTTCAACCGGAGGAGAATTGATGTAGGCAGGGGTGGTCAAAATAAGTTTAGTTGATATTTTTGTAAGCTTTTACTTAAGTTCAGCTCATTAATGGTTCTCTAATTAAGTTCAGCTCATTAAAGTTGAGGTCCAGGTTCTTCCCCCTTTGGTTTCCTATTCCTTTCACCCTTCTTTGTGTCTTCTCGGTTTCTTCTGGTGCTGTTCCCGTGGTTGGTTCTCCCCCCTTTGCTGAGTGCTGGTTCCGGTCCCCTGTGTTGCCTTTTCAATTTTTTCCCTGGCTGCTTTCTCGTGGCTGTCTCTACCCGGTTCCTGTGCTGCCTTTTTGGTAGCTTCCCTAGCTGTTTTATCCGGTTCCTATGCTATCTTTTTGGGTGCTGTTTTGAGATTATTTTAGGCCTTTTTTTATTGGTTTTGTGGGAGGTGAAATGACTGTTTGGCTGCCCTCTTTTCTCCTATAAATAAAATGTGTTTTGTATGTTTTAAGAGGATGCTATGTGACTAATTTTTGGAGATGAAAACCTGAGGGTTTTTCTTCTTTGGGAATAGCTTGCGAGCTATGTCCCCCATCTCTTCTCCTCTCTACAGCTTGCGAGCTATATTTCGTCTCGACTTCTTATCTCCTTTTTCTCTCCGCAAGTGACCACTCTAATTGTATCTTTCTTGTCAATCAATCAAAGAATGCAAGTTTAGGTGTATGTTTATGTTTGTGTTTGTGTCAAAGTTTGTAAGTCTTTTATCTTATTAAAGTTGTATTTTGTCGTATTTTGAGTACTTTATGTATTTTTCTTATATTCTTATCATAGGAAGATTGTGTTTTTCTTTTTCTTGCAAAAATTAGGCTTTCTCCTAATTTTTTCATGCATCATAAACCTTTTTCCCTCTTTCCCTCGGTCGTTCCTCTCGTTCGTTGAAATTTCTTTCAAATTTATCACTTCTTTAGCGGTAGAAATGAAAAAGAATCGTTAATTCTTATCCTTGAAGGCAATCGTTTGCTAAACTAGGAAAAATAGAACTCACCTCACACTCTCGCACGAAGCTGCCCGTCCGCCCCTTTGGTTTCACAAACGTCCTATTCGGTTTCGCGAATGTGCTGTTCGTGATTTTAATAGTGGGGGGGTGTTCAATTTAACTGGCTGGATGAACTGGTTGTCCCAACCTCGCCGTAGATTCACCCAATGCGGGGGAGACGTCGCGATGTTGTCAAAATTTTAATGAGTGGAAGTTGAACAAAACAATCTATAAGGAATTCTTAAACTTGAATGTAATCTTGAAAATGAATTAAATAAAAAATTAAATTTGCATAAAAAATGAAGCAAAACTAAAAGAATGAAATAAAATGAGAAAATGCAATGTCTCGAGAAGTGCACGGTTGCCTCGATGAGCATGTTGCCACATCCATAAGTGTGCAACTACATCGAGTAACATAGTGTAGCCCCAATAAGGATATTATGTTCAAAAGTGCTCTGATGTCTCAAGAAACATGCATATGCTTCAAAAAGTGTAGTTGCCTCGAGAAATGCTAAGTGCCTCCAATTGTGTTTTTCCTTTAGAAGCGCACTATCTTTTTGAAGCATGCCATTGCTTTGAAAAACATATAGCTATTCATGAAGCTCATCACTGCTTTAAAAAATGTGTGAATGCCTTGACAAATGTCATTGCCTCATAAAGTCACTGCAACCTCGAAAGGCACACAATTGCCTTGAAAAGGCACCATCACTTGTAAGAGCATGCTATAGCCTTGAAGTGCGTGCAACCACCTCGAGAAGTGTATAACTCTCTTAAAGAGCTTTATTTACTTTGAAAAAAGTGTCACTCCAAAATGAATATAATCATTTTAAAATGATAAAAAAAGAAGTTCATGGAGAAGTGTGCAACAACCTCAATGGCCATGTAATAATTTTAAAAATCACTCTATTTTGAAATGCATGTCAAAGCTTCGAGAAGCGTGTTATTGTAATGGGAAACATATAGTTAACTTATTTAGCAGACCATTAATCTACAAAATAGGCAGGAGCCTTGAGATGCATGCCATTGCTTCAAGATGCATGCCATTACTTGAAGATGCATTCCATTGCTTTTAAGATGGATACTGTTACCCAAAAATATGTGTTATTAGTTTTAAAATAAGAAAATTCAATCAAAAAACAGGCAAAGGACTTATTAAATGCATTGATAAGCATGTATATCATTTTAAAATAAAAATTATAAAAACGCTTGCATGTACTCTGACTAATGCTTCAATTGTTGGAATCTAAGTTCTAAGATTTGCGGGCTGAAGTTAAAGTAAGGTTAAATTTGACTTTACCTCACAATGCGTGTATGTTAGCTTAAAACATAAATCAAAATTCTTTATGTGCTCTGGCAAATGCAATAAACATACAAATATAAAGTCTAAGAAAACTGGACGAGATCTTTTTTTTAAAAATGCCCCTAAATTTAAAAAATCAATTATTTTTAGTTCAAATTTTATAAAAAAAATGAAAATTCAATTTTTTACCAAATTCAATTTTCCAGTAAAATTTATCTTTAAAACAAATTTAAAGTGAATACTCATCCATCCTCACAAAAGATTATTAACGATGATAAATTTAAGAATAACTTAAGATCATAAAAAACAAATCTTGATGATTATTAATATTCATTGTCGAATGATTCTTTCCAGTGAAGACGTGGCATGTGTTCTCTAACTGTGTGATTTTGTTGCAAAAATCACATGACTATATTATGGTCATGACCAAAACCTATTTGTTCTTTAATGGTTAAAGTCCCTTGAGTAATAAATAGTATGGTGCATTTGATAGGGCACAAAACTCTCTATTTGCTAAGGTTGACTTAAATTTGTTTCCTTTGATAAACATCCACCTTAAGTCTACAAGGTACCCTTGGATGAAATAATACATGCCTGCCAATAAGGTTCATTTGGTCAGGTTGGGTCGTCTACCTCCATTGACCCAATACACTATGGACCATGATAATATAGGACGATAAAACCATAGGTTCTTGATGGGGTTTGTTAGTTTTCTTCCATCATTCGCTTCAAGTATGAAATTATAAATTTCCAATTTTAAAATTAATATGCTTCTACTATATGCAGGATAATTAGTATTTACCTATGACTAGCCTTAATAAAAAATTATCTTATCATCGGGAAGGGTAATTAACCATAGGTGCTTGTGACTGTGGGAAACTTGTGACTAGATTATGAAGTCCTCATAAAATGAGGACGAAATTTCTGGGTATTTCCTTGTCTCAAACCTAAGTTCAATCTATCTTTTGAAAATTTAACTTGGAATATTGTTAAAATTCTCATGAATGAGGAGAGGTTGGGGCTTGAGTTTATAGAGCCCACATAGTGTATATAGAGATGGATGGTGGATTGGTACTTTTTCAAATAACATGAAGGATGCCCATTTCATATTAAAATGGCCTTGAAAGTATTTGGTAACTGTTGACATTTTGTTTGCTTGATCCTACTATTTAACACATTGACTGCTCTGCTATATTACTATGTTGGATTATTATTACGTATAAGTTTCTATTGTCTTTGGCCTTCCATATTTGTTTCCTTTCATAGAGAAAGCTTTTTTATCGACTTTTCTCTTTTGTCTGAAGTATTTCTATTCTAGTTGAGTTTCACTAAGGGTTGGATGCCCATATACCTTACCCCAAGTTCCTCATTAGTGCCGTTCTTTCTCTTTGGTCTTGATACTTGTGATTTGGTAAGCTTAGAGAGAATCATAACCTAAATCAAATGGTAGGACTCAGCTATGTTTTTGGTTTTCTCATTATTTAATTTTATCCTCGCTTTTGTAACTTTTTATTAGTTGATTAGAATGTTATACGAATGATCTTTTTTATTAGATTAAAATGAGAATTTGACTCTTAATAGGACACAATGGAAAAAAAAAAAGATTTATGTAGCATCCCCTACATAGTGAAATAAAGGTTTGATGCTTTTGTTTTTGTTATTGTTTTTAGAACTTTTTATTTACAAGTTATCTTCTATTTAGCTGAATTCTTGTTTCAGAATCATCGTATGTTTTTGCATAACAAAGTGCATCACACTGAACTTTGAGGCCTTTCACATTGTCAGTAGATTCATGTTGGGTCAGCATTAAACTGAATTATTGTGGAATAGTTAAACATGTTTCAGGCTTAAACTACTAACAAGTTAGAGAAAAGATTTTTTTATTTTTCATTGATCGAGAGATGCATCTAATTTCCCATGGAATATTATAAAATGTATTATTACGGAGTGTTACTATTGGGTTAATGTGGTCCACTCAAAAAACACATGGAAAATAAATTCTAAATTATTCTTATACCCCGACACCTTCCTATCTAGAGCTAATTGTTTTTAAATATGGTAATTGGTGTATTTATCTTAAATAAGTAAGTTAAAGCCTCTTTTTATTTTCTTGAGTTCAGTAATATATGAAAGATGCTCTTGAAGATAACTAATACATATGTAATTAATTTCCTTGCTAGCGTAAACTCTAACATGCACACAATCCTTATATCATGATTGTGGTGGCAATTTAGTTATTGACTATAGTGCAGTTATTATTTTGATTATTTTCATATTGAAATGGATTTGATTTATTTCTACCCTTTCGCAAAGATATATTAATGGCATGTTTCCTCGTCCTTCTTGTTAGATTTCTATACAGCATGGGAAGTTGTTGCAAAACATGTCAACACTTACACTGAAGAACCTGTTGTTGCAGCTAGGTAGGCATACTCCAGAACACAATATTCTTTATTATAGTCACTTTATAAATTTTGTTCTCACTATTATTGTTTCTTTTGTAGATTTGGTATATTTTGACATTGTATTTGCAATATATTCTTAAAACCTGTATGCTTTGTTGCATCTATAATTTAAGCTACCAACTCTACTCAGTTAAATGAATCATCTAGATTCCTAGAAATAATCTTGATGATAACCAAACTTCTCAACGATTACTAAATCAAGTTGGCTTACTTACGACTTAAGCAACATGTTCTAAAACCTGTAGACTCAACACTTGCCCAAGAGGGTTTTTTTTTGCAGTTCTAATTGATATCTTGTAAAAATAACAATTAAATGAGAAGGAAAGCGTATTAACACAAGATATGAATGATTTTTGGATTATCTCTTCAATAATAATGAAAGATACAAATGATGTACTGTTCGAGAGGTAGATCAGCTTTTGCACAAATCCGAGACACTGCTAGGAAACTCTTAGAAAGACCCTAGAATAAACTTCAACAAAATATAAATTCCAAACCGTAGACCAAACTCTCCTTCTCCCTTAAATAGCCACCTAACACAATACACAATTGAAACATTATTGATCAGCATAAACATAATTATGAAACTTTCCTAAATAATTAAACCCTTCGTAAACAGCATAAACATAATTAGAAAAACTTCCTAAACAATTAACCCCTTCATGAACTACATAAATGCAATTAGAAAACCTTCCTAAACAACTCTCCCTTTATTAGGAAGCTTCCTAGATAGCTCCCCCTTTGATTAGTAACCTTCCTAAACAATTCCCCCTTAATTAGGAACCTTCCTAAATAGCTCCTTCTTGATTAGGAACCTTCCTAAATAATTATTCCTTAATTAGGAACCTTCCTAAACAACTCCTGCTTGATTTGGAACCTAACTAAACATTTTGTGAAGTAAATCCTTTTCTATTACGGTATTGCTTCTATATTGTTCTATTAATGACCATAGGGATGCGGGTACAATCTAGGGTTCTAATTGCATTTTGGAAGTTGGGATAAAATTGTTGTTTCGATTAGATGAAAGAATGGCTGTCTATTTCTACTGTTGGCAATTTGATGGACTCCATAGATTAAAGAAAGTATTTCTCATAGCACTTGATTGAAATACCAACTTATTGTTTTGAGGGAATATTGGAAAAACTCGCACAATTATCTGTTTGTATGTACATGTGCAACTCCTTCAAGAAATATTCTTATTTTTTCATATGCTAAAATATACCTTGTTCCGGTTATCAAAATCAAACTTACTAATAACTTTTTTAGTTATTAGAATGCCTTAGTTGGCAGCTTGAAACAACTTTTTGATGTCATTTGATACTCCAAACGTCTGCATGCTGTTGGTTAGTGTATGATCCGTTGAACAATAGTTTTCATATTATTTGTTCCTTATTAGACGAACTACAATCCTACATGATAAATTGATTTAATTCACTATAACATCCTTAACCTATATATGCTATGCTCATCAACCATATTGCTAATTTCATCATAAATGGTACCTCGTTGATAATTAGCCATTACCAAGGAAGACAATAATAATTTGTTCATGAAAATGATAAATACTTTGATAAATAACAAAAGTTCTCATAGCTGGATAAAGTAATGTAATAATAATAATAAAAAAAAGAAAGATTAGAGTATAGATCTCAATAAGTTTCATAAATAGGTAATTGAAAATAAAGGACATCCAGTACATCTAGGCTGATAATGGGAACAGTGTTTGAGGCAACTATAAAAATAGCACAATCATGGAAACCAAGCTGGAGAAGCATAAAATCGAGGATAACGACTTTGCATACACTTAATCTTGGTATGCAGGAATGGTCTTTCCTATGCCATTAGTATAACCTTATTGCCACTATTTTCAATTTGGGCATCAGAGATGGAGATAATAGCTTCTGTTGTAATGTTCTCTAAGCTGCTCAATTTAGCCAAACATTCATGCATTGTGAATAGGCTCCTTATGGTGAACTAATAAGTTGTCCAATGCTTATTTATATACTTTTTATTACGTCTTGAAGTTCTACCTACATCCTCATTGGATTTTTTACTCCGGCTCATTTGTGTTGCACTTGGTTGGCTATCAATCTACTCCTCCATATCTGCATCGACCTGGGGTTACAACCCATAAATATTGTTAACAAATCATACACGATACGTGGACATGAAATGATCAGCTATTGGTTCAACCTTCTCCTATTCATATTGTTGCTAATGATTTAAATTCCTCATGTTGTCATTCCGAATGTAGTGTTGTCTTCATGAATCTTTTTGAAATTGTCATATTAGTGAAAGGATTCTATTGAAATGCTTGCCTAGTTTGGGTTATCTTATGAAATATAGAAAGTTTGGATTAATGATTTGTAGAAATCACTGACTCAACTAACTGAAAGTTCATTATTATTTAACTACTATGATGAGCTATTTCTATTTACCTTTATGATCTCATCCCAAACTTCCACTAGCTATTGCTAAGCGTGGATCTTTTTACCATTCTCAAATGGTATAATTTGTGAGTTGATATATTTTATGGAAGTCCGATTTCATGATTTGTGACTTTGGACGATCTAGTCATTTAAAAGAGTATACATTTTAGATATATTGGGTCTATTGTTCAAAGTGATAGTGAAATAGATGGAGATATTATTAGTAGAATTTAAGTTAAATGGTTGAAGTGGAGGAATGCATCGGGCCTGTTGTGTGATAGAAAAGTGCCCCTCAAACTTAAAGGAAAATTCCATAAGATGGAAGGGAGACCTATAATTTTTTATGGAGCAGAATACAGGCCATTAAAATAAAGCATAAAATTAAGATAAGTGTTGCAGAGAAGAGGATGCTCAGGTGGATGAGTGACTTTACTCTTAGAGACAAAATGCGAAACTAGTATATAAGTGAACAGGCTGAAGTAGCTCTAATGGAAGATAAGATTAGAAAGAGTCTCATTGGATAGTTTGGTCACATAAAACTTTGGCCTTTTGATAACCCAGTTAGTAGAGTAGATGTATTAATTATGGCCTATGTTAAGAAAGTTAGAGGTAGATGTAAAAATACTTGTTTAGAAAGTATTAGAAATGAGCTTTTTTTATTAGATTTAAATGTGAATTTGACTCTTAATATGATACAATGGAGAAAAAAGATTTATGTATCCTATTGCTTGGCATTCTTAACTTTAGTGATTTGAACTTGGCCTTACTCTAAGTGGAAGGGACACGTATTATCCTGCAGAAGTAATATAGAGAGAGCTAGGGAGAGCAGGAGACTGGGACGTTGTCCCGTGGACCAGACCAAACATTTCTTCTTTATAGAACGTCATTTTTCAAGCTAAAGATGTCTTTTGGCTTGGAGAAGGATTTTTCCTTTGCCTCTTCCTTTGATTCATTGTGTTGTGGTGATGCAGCTTGGTCACTCTATTGCGATGGGGTGCATTGGATGTGGAAACTTATCCTGATATTGCTAGGATTATTATGCTAATATTATGGGAAGTTGGAACGTTGAGGAGTTATTCTTCTGGGTGCTTGTGGGTGAAAGCAAGAACAATTGCATTCCAGTCCATGATGCATTATGAGGTTTACTTTTAATCCCTTTTCTTTATTTTTTGGTATCATATTGCAAATTCCTGTCAATTTCTGCTTGTGATTTTCACATTTCCTTAAGCAAAACTTAAGTTTCTTATATCCTTGTTTGTGCTATTGCAGATTGTTAAGTTTCAGGAAATTATTCCTGAATTTAAGGAAAAGATTTTGCAATGCCTTCTTAATGAGTGTAATGCTGAAGTTCTTGAGGCAATGGAGGAATTTGAAATCAAGATAATCAATTTTGAGCACACGTTGATATTATTTTCTCAAATATTCGTTTTTTTCTCTTGTTAATAGGAAAGGAGTGCCGTATAACTTACATGCTTTTTTTTGTTTTGAAGAAACCGGCGCAGAGCACTCAAAGAGAGAAGACCTTTGGGGTACAAAGTTGCAAAATTGCTGGATGTTTTTCCTCAGGCTTTGTTCTCACCAGGTGCTTAAGTAATTATTTGCTGCAAGTTAGCTAGTTCTGAGATTGAAGCCTGCAGTAAAAAGCTGTTGGTCTGTGAATAAATGTGTGTGAATCCGGGTTGTGTTTTCATGTCTGAGATGCAGCTCTTTGATCTTTTTGTTGCTTTCCTGTTTTTGAAATGTTTTATCATCTGCTTAAGTAGAGCGGTAGAATCATCTTTACTTATTATAACCAGGTTTAACTTATCCGTAATTCTATCAAAGTTTATTACATAATATATTTCATTATAATTAGAAATGAGACATAAAAATTATAGGGTTTTGTACTATTATTAAAAAATTTGCTAAACATCTTTTATGCTTTAATGATACTTGTGACCATCAGTGGAAATTTCGTCTGGACTTCTTTTTGTTTTAATGTTTTGTTGCTATACATCATACACTTCTTCATTTCTGTGTGGTGAATACATAAGAGCGATTAGCTTTTTATACTTCTGTTCTCAAAGCACAACGCAATTAAGTTGTTTCAATCCCCCAAAGTGCACAAGAAAAAAGTTATTAGAAATCCTGAACCTTAAAAGAGAATATTACAAGAAATGAAAATTTTCAGACTTTTATATTACAATAACATTTAAAACTTGGCGTGCATGCTCAAGAACTACTAAATCAGTTTGAATTAATACAAAGTTGTGATGCTCCAGCCAAAGTGGAAGTTTATTCATGGAGCCCGTTGTTTAAATATCCTCACATAGTCTCAACCATTCTCATGAGAAATTGTTTAGTAAATAGAAAAAATCTACACAGTTTTTGTTCACTAATTAGTCAAATAAATAGTTAAATAACTGAACATTGCACCATGATCAATGACCTCATTATTCTTATCCCAACTATTTTTTAGTTAGCTTTATGAATCCTTATCCTCTATTTTATTCTTTGTTCTCATCTAGTGCGACATGGGATGCTAACCTGATTTTACCTAAATATTTTTGCACAACCCCTTATACATTCTAATCCTTTTGCATTAATTTTATTTGCCCATCAAATTGGCCCTTATTCATACCTTAGTGCTGACATTAGGTTTTATTCATCCCTTAGCGATGACATTATGTTTTCCAAGTAGTTTTAAACATAATATGGTTTTATTGGTCCCTATTTACAAATTTTCGGTGTAGCTTTTGCATTACTTATTACTACAACATTTTGTTTGTTACTCTATGTTATTAAATTACTCCAAAAATACAATATCATGATGTGGATCTTCTGTGTATTGTGGAACTAGCCCAATTAACAAAAATGTATGCCTCAATTTCATGAAATTCCCCCTTTTTGAAGAATAACCGACTTCGTGGACTTTTTTTTTGATACTTAGTATCTTTAATACAATATCAAGATGTTCCTCGCTAGATAGACTATCTCGTTTCTATCACCACGAGATCTTTTTTGTTTGTAATCATTCTAAATAAAAGATTTTAAGTGAAAAAATATTCAACTTAATAAATTTTTAACATCAAATAACCTCTTCTTATATAAATTTCAAAGCCTCACACATCAATTAGATGTTTATTGAAGGAAATCACTAAAAATTGAATTTTTACCTCAAAATTCTAACATTCTTTTTCCTTCTCCCTTTAGCTTGACTTTGATCTAGCCTTTGTTTTCTTCAAATTGGCTTATGGGAAGGATATATCTATCTATATATATATATATATCTTAATATTTCTTTTTTAGCTTTTCATTAAAGTTGTCTAATTCATCACCACCGTTGCATGAAGCAATTAATGGATTTGACTGATTTGTATTGTTGCTATAGTGTATTAATCCGTGAACACTAAAATTAAGATTTTAATTTGTGTAATTTGATTAAAGCACAATTTTATTTATGTAAGCTTATGTACTCACAATTTGTTAGGTGTGTGTTATATATATGTGTGGGCGCGCGTGCGCGCAAATTGTAGGATTTTATGAAAAATATTATTTATTAATTTTATGTTGTGTGAAAAATTGTGTATACTATTCTTGGGTGAGTTTTGGACTTTTCTCTTTTCAAATTCCTTGAATATTTTAATTCTTTCCTTTATATTGGAATTTCGTCCCATATATTGGTTTCATAATTTGTCAAAACTCACCTAAAATTTTGGGTGAGTTTTGGACTATAACCTTTTGAAATTTCTTGAATATTATAATTCTTCCCTTTATATCGGAATTTCGTCCCATAAATTTGTTTCATACTTTGTTAAAACAAGTGAGGAAGTTTTGCCTCACATTTGTTTTCTCAAGTTGCTTCCTTTTCTGATCAATACTTCAAATATTCATATAAGAGATTGTTCTGCTTCTGAATTCTCTAACTTTAGATGATGATATCCATTTTGGTTCTTTTGTGCAAGTTAAGTTATTATGCACCTCAATTTCATCTTATGACACTGTGATTTTAATTTGCAATCCTTTTTTTTGAGCTAAAAAAATTATATATCTCAGACACAACTACCAATAATGTTATTCTATATATAACTTTTCCAATTCTTTTAATTATCTCAATTGCCCGATATATCTAGGTTTCAACTTTCATCCTTGAGCAAATTTGAAATTTCTTTTCATCGGCCAGATTTTTATGAAACAAATTCTCTAACTTCGAACTTAATTATTCTTTACTTTGGGCCATAACATTTTTGCTAATTATGGTTGCCATTTATCTGTCTTTGATTAACCTGATTTTCTTAGTAGTTAGATCTACTAGTTACATAGCCACCAGCTTTCTCTCTCTAACCTTACCCCAACTAAGTGGAGTTTTATATTTTCTATTATATAATGCTTCATTAGTTACACTTTTAATGCTGAATTGATAGCTATTATTATGTGCAAATTTTATCAATGAAATGCGATCTTTCAAGCTACCGCTAAAATTCAAAGAACATACCATAAGTAAATTCTCTAATAGTTGGATAACTCTTTCTGATTAATTATCGGTTTGTGGATGGAATGATCTACGGGAATGTAATTTAGTTCCCAAACTTTCATTTATACCTTCCATAGTCTAGATGTGAATTTGTTGTCTTTGTTGGGTATAATAACTTAAGGAATTCTATATAGTTTTATAATTTCCTTAACAAATATCCTTACCAATTTTTTGTCTGAATCTGTATGAAGAATAAAAATACATTGTGCTAAATTTGTTCGCCTATCAATCACACCACTCTAATGCAATGATGTCCTTGCTTAGATATGGGAAAACTCATGACATGTTATATCTTTCTATTTTCACTTGGGTATTTTTTTTTTCAAAACTCGGGTATTGACAATGACTATTGTATTCCATTAGGTTTTGATATTCAGCTTTTAAAACTTGACATGATTTATATTCTGCCTCAAAATCAGCTGCAGCCTTTATTCTAGGGCACTAAAATAATGATTTTAAATCTTTATATATTATTGTACTCTTTAGATGAATCGAATAATCAGAGTAATGGGCTTCATGTAAAATATTCTAAATTTGATTGGGTTCTCTTGGAATTCAAAGTTGCCAGTTTCGTTTGATCACCCAATGCTTGCTATTGTTGAGATTTTTTTTGGCCTGTTTGGATTTGATTGATTAGCCTCTGATATCACTACTAACCTTTTGTGCCTCCTTTATTGTTTCTACTAGAGTAGGGTTTACAATAATTTGATGTAAATTTCCTGAGCCTTGGTCATGCTGTATTCTAATATTCAATTGTAAAGCCACTATATCTCTGATAGTTTTGCTTCTTGAGTTAGCATCCAACTTAGATGTCCACTGCTTTTTGGCTTAATGTATTTTCTACGATATTTGCTTTTTTAGGATACTACTATATATGGAGATCATAATCTTTTATTTACTGTAATCAACTTCTTTTTCTTAAATTCAATTCTTTTTGAATAAAATTGTACTCAATGCTTTTATGATCTATGAATACTTCACATCTCACCCATAAAGATAATACCTCCAAAAGTTTAGAGCAAAGGTTATTACAACCAACTCGAAATCATATGTCAGGTAATGGCTTATGTGAATCTTTCTTTCTTTCTTTCTGCTGGTCTTGCTTTGAAAAATGTTGAACTATTAGTAAAATTTACTATTTACATCTGTATATTAGGTATGAATATGGAGTGTTTAGGTCCAAAGATTATGAATGGTATTTCATCTGTATTTTTACTGCTTTTCTATGGATATGCCTCTTTGTATTCTTTGTTTTTATGGCCATAGCTTGTAATTCATAAAGATAGTGATTATTTCGAGAATGCAACTCCATTTAATGCTCATTTGATCTCAAATACCCCATCCTTGTAAAAGCAACAATGCAACGACTTCCAAAAGCCCTATTTTAGATAATTTCTTCCAATTTACTTTTTTTGATGTGCTGGGACAGGAAATCTTAATGTAAATGCAATAGAGTTTCCTGGTGCTGCTCTGTTATCTTATGTTTTCACCCCCAAAGAACTGCAGGGCTCATCAAATGTAAGACTTTAATATCTTTTTATATATCAAATTTTATCCGAATAGCCATTGGTGCTCGGTCTTATAATATTTCCATGAAGTATGGTTTCAGCTTGGCTATTGGTTGGCTTTATTTTAGGACGTCCCAAGAATTCATGCATTATTTGAGAAGGCACTAATAGAAATAGCTGAATCACTTCCGCTATCAAGAAATATATTAATTGCACTTCTTACACTAGAGTCATGGAAAGCATTTATTCAACAATGGATCAAGGCTTTGGTGGCATCTTCTGATGTAAAAAGTTCATCAAGTGAGTTGGATAACGAATTGCAGAGTGCTGGTGACATACTGAAGGTTAATCTCTTTTATAAGAAAATTCTATTTTTATTGCTTTTTGTCGTCTTCCTGCTTTTCATTGTTGTATACCTCTGCTAATCAAGATATTGGTGATTTGCTTAATAATTGTCAAATACTGTCCCAGCCATCCTAGACGTCCCTTGGCTCTTGGTCCTATGACCAGTATGGAGATTTGTGGGACACTCAACTGAATCACGCCAATCTCCTTCTAGATTTGGATGGCTGATTTAAGAAGGATTGTATTAAGGCAATTATACATGATTTTGTAGTTATTTGTTTCTTTATTAGGACATCTTATATAGTTCTATAAACATGAATAGTTTTTTATATTAAAATTAAGCTTTCACCTCTTAAATTATCTGAATTTAACATGGTATCATAGCCTTGAATCGAAGGAAGCTGAGAGTAGCGAGCGGCCTTTATTTCTGTTGAAAATCGAACGAGATTCGAGTGGTCCAAAACTCCAAATCCCCTTTATCATTCTTGTGGCTAGAAGAAGCAGAGATTGAGCAGGAACTTCCTTCCTGCGTGTATCCAGTCGAGTAGATGGGAGCAGTCGAGAACGGGAGGAGAGGGTCCTCGCGTGCAACTCATATGTGCGACCAATTCAGGATGGATCGGGTGAGGTGTGTGCAACCAAGAGCTTTTGTGCGAACGTCCCGTCTAGAGGAATCGAGAGGGGTCTAGAATCGAGCAGGTGACTTGTTCGTGAAGCATGGAATCGAGCTGAGCATATAGAAGCGCCGATCCACTTGTGTGCATGGTTTAAAATTGCGTAATATGAGGCTCGCCTTGAGGCCCGTCTTTGCGCAATTCCAGTAAAAAACGCCTCGATGCTTACGCCTCGAGTTTTTTTTTATGAGGCTTGCGCCTCAACTTGGTTGAGGCCCGCCTTGAAGCCCGCCTCGCCTCACTGGCATGAGGCTTACGCCACACGCTATATATATTAAAACTTACATAAATCTTGAAGTAAATGTCTGACATTGGACTCTATAGGAGAGGAGAAAGGAGAGAGAGCAGTTCACCATAATGATGATTTAAATGAAGAACCCCTTAGTGATTACAGTGCTGATGACTTATGAGTTCTTATGAGATATGTCATTGCTATTTATTTTTGGAAATTGGAATTATATGTTAATGAAAAAAATACTGGGATTTGGGAAAGATAGAATTTTGAGTTGAACTATATTTCATGTTGTCTTATTATTGAGATATTTTGATTTCACTTCATATCTTATGCTTTTTTATGTTTTATATTATTCACTCATTAGTATATAAAAAATTTATCATTTTAT